GGCTATCATTCATCTTCGCCATTATCCTCAAAAGCATCCTCTGGGGAGCAACATCAAACACCAGTAAACCAGCGCAATGAGGATAGCAACGCTTAGCTCTGCCTGGCTATTGTGGCTATCATTCATCTTCGCCATTATCCTCAAAAGCATCCTCTGGGGAGCAACATCAAACACACTGTTTCAATAATCGCAAAAAAAAAAAAAAAAAAAACAACAAATAAAATCAAAGCCGTAATAATGAACGAAAAAAAGAGGCATCTATTTTCGGGGTGTACAGCAAATTGATTTGAGGGAAATATGGAAAACAAAAATTACTTCGTTAATTATAATGTCCATCATGCATTATTTTCATTCTTGGCTTGTCTTAAACACTGAACGCGCCCGTAGCTCAGTTGATTAAATTATTAGCTGTGATCGATTATTGTGTATTTTTATTTTAGAGACGTGCATATGTATTTTAACATATGCCACTATAAGTTGGAAAAGCACTAAAGACATGGCAGGAAGCTTCAGTGTTCTCAAAAACATATGCCAATGGATTTTGATGAACATCAAATAGGATGAATTTAACTACACGGAATTTTGGAAAGAACAAACCAACAGTAAGTATCCACAGGAACTCATCAATAGACCCAGCAGAAAACAAAATACAACAATGTTCCGTCTAAGAACAGCACACTGCAGGTTCAACTACCAGATGCATAAATTAAAGACCGTAGAGTCCCCACAGTGTGCCCGTCAGATAGGACCATAAACCCATGAGCACATTCTGCAGGCCTGTCTACTTTACTTAATAACTATGAAAAAAAACTTGACTTCAAGAGCAAAGTGTGCAGAGCAAGCTATGTAGAACCACGAAGTACCTGCAACTGACATGCGAATTCCTAGAGGCAGCTCACCAATGAGTATACGGAATGGAATGCAAATAAACAAAAAAGGAAGAAGAAGAAGAAGAAGAAGAAGAAGAAGAAGAAGAAGAAGAAGAAGAAGAAGAAGAAGCAGAAGCAGAAGAAGAAGAAGAAGAAGAAGAAAAAGAAGAAGAAGAAAAGGAAGAAGAAAAAAGAAAGAAAGAAAGAAAGAAAGAAAGAAAGAAAGAAAGAAAGAAAGAAGAAAGAAAGAAAGAAAGAAAGAAAGAAAGAAAGAAAGAAAGAAAGAAAGAAAGAAAGAAAGAAAGAAAGAAAGAAAGAAAGAACGAATGAACGAAGAAGAAAAAAGAAAGAAAGAAAGAAAGAAAGAAAGAAAGAAAGAAAGAAAGAAAGAAAGAAAGAAAGAAAGAAAGAAAGAAAGAAAGAAAGAAAGAAAGAAAGAAAGAAAGAAAGAAAGAAAGAAAGAAAGAAAGAAAGAAAGAAGAAAAAAAGGAAGAGAAGAAAGAAGAAGAAGAAGAAGAGGAAGAAGAAGAAGAAAGAATGGAAGCAAGAAAAAGAAAAAGAAGAAGAAAAGAAGAAGAAAAAAGAAGAAAGAAGAGGAAGAAAGAAGAAGAAGAAAGAAGAAAAAAAAGAAGAATTAGACAACACGTGAAGAAAAAACAAAAGATCTGGACAACTACTTGCATGAGCAATTACAAGAAAAAGAAGACGACATGATACAGTGCAGACAATAAGAAGAAGCGGACAAAGTATCACTAAAGAGGCATTGAAATAAGAAACATTTAGACTGGGGAAACGGGGACGTCCAAGAGTAACCCTAAGATGTACGTTGCTGAGGGAGGCCTGGGTACTCGACTGGATTACATCCATGACATCAAAAAGATTGCACAGAATAAGGCGGAATGGGGAACAATACTACGAGCTCTGTTTGAGACACAGCCGGATTATGAATGTACATAGCCACTGTAGCGCTATGGCTGGATACGTTTGCCTGCTGGACATGTGTTTGAATCCTCTTACCTCTAAAATTATGTGCCTAGCATCATATATAAAACACAATCTTGAAATACGTTATACTGTGCCCATCAAGTCTGCAAGACCTGCAGATGATACTGCAATTACAAACCTCTCAACAAGGGAGCTGAATCATTCACTGTCTGCATTAGCTGACGTTTGTTGCGAATTTGAACTAACAATAATTTGTGATGCAGTGGGATAATTACAGACCTGCAGTCTTCAATGATATTAAGGAGTTGGAGGCAGTTCGCCATTTTACATATCTGGGTTCCTCCTCAATCCTTAGTAACAAGCTTTCAATGGATAAAGAAATCAACACTAGGATAGGTAAAGCAGCAATTCAAATAAGCAGGTTAACCAAAAGAGTATAGGAAAACAGAAAGCTCACGGTTAAAACAGAAACACTTGTCTTTCAAGTATGTGTTCTCTGCACTCTTTTCGGTATTGAAACTTAGTCACATTACTTTGCACCAGCAAAAACAGGTGAACAATTTTCACATGCTATGTATACAAAGGATACAGAATGATATTTTGACATTAGGTGGCAAGACAAGATCACAAATGCCGAGGAATTGGAAAGGGGTGGTATCACAAAAGTGGTGTCAGTGCTCAGTCTTCGAAGGCTCAGATGGCTAGGACCCCATTGATTAATGGAGAAAGACAGAGATTTTAGGGTTAGAAAAAGGCAGAGTCGTCAGAAAAGTCTTCTACAATAAATTAAAAATAAGTATAAGATGTCGAGGTCAACATCCGCTATGATATAAAGATGTGTACAACTGAAACATGAATGATAATGGAACATGAATGATACAGGTTGTGATATTGCTCCATGAGAGCAGGATGTCATGGACCAAATAGCATGATGAGGAAAATCAGGAAGGGGGTAAGAGATGAAGGAGACAACTATAGCAGATAAGTTAGAAGCTGAGCGTCTGGGAGGAGGCACGTTTAATACATGCTGGTAACATTATTGATTGTTAAAAAAAAAAAAAAAGTAAAGGACTCTTTTCCACGCCTTAGGGCGTATAGGGCATATAGGGCTAGACCTATATTTTTTATAGACCAATCGGCACAAGATGGGTGATGTGGTCAGTATCACGCCGGCCGCCTTCACTTTATCCGGAACTGCACCCGGTACCCACTCAAGGCTGGGTTGACCTGGGGTCAAGGTCATTTTTGAAAAAAGTCTGGCTCCGCCAGGGAGCGAACCCACGACCTTCAGATCCGCGGCGAGCGTCTAGCCGCTCGGCCACGGCGACTCCCTATTGATTGATTGACTGACGTTCAATCCCACCAGGACATCAAACGGAGCGATAAACACCCGGTGCCACTCATTTGGATGAAGACCACCCGTAGACAGGTCCCAGAAACCCATTTCAACCCATAGGTTGGGTTATATTAGGACCCACGACAACAGCCGGAATGGTGCCCTAAGATAAAGAAAAATTGCTTCCCATTACTGGGACGGCATGATGCACAGTAAAGTAAAAATTCTTGTTATCTAAATGTGGACGGCGGTGATTTCACTTTCTATTCCTGGAGGCAATGTGGTATATTTTGTGTAACCTGCCCTAAAGCATTAATATCAATCGGTTCACACTGGATGAATTGATATCGACATCATGCCTGTCGTCTTAACCTCCAAGAACATTTTGATACCTATCTCAGACTAGATCCACCTGGTAGCCGAGGCCAATTTGAAAAGAAATCCCCTTCACCCCCCTTTCCCTCGATGTCTATTTGAACTTATGACCATTTAACGGCCGAAACCGGTTGTGGCTAAAGGGACCCAACTAAGGGGGAAAAAAAGATCCACTCACTCCTTTGCACCCCCCCCCAACGTAAATTTCGTAAGTGTTTCATTTGGAGTTTGCTGAAATCGGATGTAGTTGGACCGAGAAGTGCAGAAATCACATCTCAGATGTAAACCTCAACACAAGTGACAATCGCCTTTTCGGGGCAAAAATAGTAGAAGACTTGATTGACGTGACAACATGGATTGTTTTTGAAAATCCAGCTCGATATGAATTTCCTGTTCTTCCGTTTCACCTTCTGTAAACTCCGGCGGAAAGTTGTAGTTGTTCGTCCACTTCTGGGCGTTAGCCTTGTTTCAGAAGTTGAGTTTCTCCCCCGTGTGGGTTCCGGGGCCCCATCGTGGGGAAAACTAGAATAGACCCACTGCCTCCCCAAAAGCATGTCGTAAGAGTCGACTATTTGGAGAGCTTTCTTTAAAGTCAGAGTGCATCTGCCGGAGAGGCAAGGAGCCAACAGTCTGTATTCAAGAGAATGAGATCTGTAAAACTGATGCACACGCAACACTCAGGTTATGGAGCAGGACTGCAGTTCAGTAGTGAACGAGCAACCAGAACTTTCCGCCAGAGTGTACAGCTGGTGAACGCGAAGAAGAAGAAGAAGAAGAAGAAGAAGAAGAAGAAGAAGAAGAAGAAGAAGAAGAAGAAGAAGAAGAAGAAGAAGAAGAAGAAGAAGACGAAGAAGAAGAAGAAGAAGAAAAGAAGTTGAGTTTAGCATGACCTTCTGTTTTATAGATCTGACATTTGTATGCAGACTGTTTGTTCTTTGACTAAGGCAGACGCACTCAAACTTCGAAGGAAACCCCCAATTAGTCGACTCTTACTATATGCTTGTTAGGGGGCAGTGGGTCTCTACCCCCGCCTCCCCCTCTCCCCCATGGGGCCCAGCAACCCACACAGGAATATATGGATCTGAACTTTGACCATTGAACTGACAGTCGAACCCAAGATCAGTTCTAAAATGAAGCTTTGTGTGAATCCGAACTTGTAATCACGGACAGGCGGGAAAGCACGTAGTCACTGCTACCACACCACCCACCTCCTTTTCGAACGACACACAACAGCAAATACCCCATTTGTTCCAATATCGCGGAAACTAGAACACTGTCACAGACCTACAAACGCTGACATTTCCGTCACATCACAATGTATAATCACATAATTTCCTCAAATTACCCACGATAAGCTGGCAAATGTCGGAGTTTATATACACGCGGCCACACATAAAAACTTTGCAAAACGGAATAGCAAGGACGATTCCAAGCCACGCTATTATCTCTAAAACACACATGTTCAGTAAACAGCAATGGCGACAATTTGTGTTGGATATATGTTTACATTTTTCCTCGTGCTGCTTCTAGCCAGGAGTAGTGTCTGTAAGTTCTATTGATCGTTCACAATATGTTATTTCTTGTTGAATAATGTGATTGAAATAACCGCGGTGTTTTTGCTGGTTCTAACAATTTCATGTTTCACGTTCAGCAGTGAACACAGCTTGGTTATTGGATATACGCAGTTTCATTGGGACGTTTATAGCTGGCGTTGACAACAACCATAATGTAAGTTTGGGACGACTCTGAAGCAATAAAACTTATAAACATTAGCTGACAGTTGCATGAGATGAGATGATTAACTCTCTTCCTAGCCATTTCTTTATGCAGTGACTAGTCGTCTCTCTCAGTATCCCCCCCCCCCCACGATAAACATTAAACAGATGTGTATAAAGTATAGATCCATTTTCACGCCTTTAGACGTATCGGGTATATGGAAAAAGCGTCCATATTTTTACAGACCATCAGCACTAGGTAGGTAATGTGGTCAGCATTTCGCCGGCCGTCTTTACTTCCCCAGGAGAGCCATCCTGGTACCCATTTTAGGCTGGGTCGACCTCCGACGCCCCATACCACGATAAAAATCTACGCAGTGGGTTTCTATCGCGGTATGTTGGAACTACGAATCGGACTTGGAACGCCTAAGCTATAGACGCCGCTGGACAAATGTATATACATAGCCTGAAAGCCCGGTTTGGTGTGGTGACAGAGGCTGTATCACAACACCGAGAGACAAAAACAAAACTAAAGGCACAGTAAGTAAACAGTGAGTAAAGTAAAAGACACTTTTTACGCCAGTGGCACAACTGGCATACGGCGATCGATTTATATTTTGTAACAGACAGTGAGTATGTCGTTCATAAAAAGTGGCACAACACCGAACGTAAAGTGCCCGTAGTGCGTTTTACAATTCGCGCCGTCACCCTTAACAAATATCTCGAAACTCCAGTACGGATCACCACTAATTTTTGCATATAGTCTTTGATTTCCCGTGTCCTTGTGATTTTATAATTTACAACTGCACAGATTCTTCTGTTGTTTTCTTACAGCGGCGAATTTCATTGATCTTTGTCTGATTAATAATTTGGGTAACCCTAAAAATCTACAGTAGCTGACGTAAATCGTCTACTTGTTAATTTAGCCAATCAACAAGCATTATGATCGTACATAACGTACCCAGTTGCCTTTTTAAAATAAGCTCGCCGTAGTTTTTTGTTCGGATTACCTCTAAAACGTCTGCAAAATGATATTTTGTGAAATTCGCCCCAGTCCATTTATTGTTAACATGCTAACTGCCGGTGTCCGTTTTTTTGTTTTTTAAATATACCACAAATAATGTAGAATAATAACTAGAGATTTGTTTACATTGTAATTATTTTCCCGCGAAGGAATGATAAATGAAAAAGTTGCTTGTTATCAAAACTGGCTTGAGATTTTTGGACAAACCAGGCTGAAATGGGCACCGTGATATGTTTTGAGAAACAAATACCATATTTACACAGTCACACTCTATCCTGTCCGGACTTCAAGTTATTTTATAACCCGGGGGCGGGCGATATAACCTTTTAGTTTAAGGGTTTCTGGAATTTGTATGTGGAAAAGGGGTGGGGCACTCATCCAGATGGTGACACTAACGAAAGTCTCCCCAAACAAAGACGGTCATGTTTCTTTGATAAGTTTGTTGGGCTGGTCTACCTTCCTGCAGGTTACGGGTGTGTCGCTCTGTTGTTTGCTTTCTGGTTTGTCTTGCATATACGTTTTTTGAGTGCTAAAAGCGCTAGGGTATTGCGGAAAACCACCGTAACCTTGCGCCAAGGTAACGTGGCCCGAGGTCGACGAATCAGAAGTGAGATAGGCTGAAGGTCGACTTATCAGAAGTGAGCTAGTCTGTAACACTGTGCAGATGGGGAGACCAACGTTAGTTTTACCACCAAAAGGTGCTCAGTCCTCCGATGGAGCAGCCACTCCAGTCTACCTCTGCTTACTGATCTTTACTGATCGCCCAGCTAGATGGAGACGGAGCGCAGGGAATATCCCGATTGCTGTGAAGTCAATTCTTAATTCAATAGTCGTCTATCAGACTGTTGGTTCCTCTCCCCTACCATGTCAGTAACAAAACCCAGAAATGAGGCGCAGAAAAAGTTTTCTTTTTTTAGGAATCCATAAAAAGCTAGAAAGGTCTGGAGGGTAGTGAGCAGACTAAACGTGGTCGAGATATTTTTTCATAAAGTAGAATGGAGTGGAATCGAGGGTAGTGACAAAGCAAAACTCGGCGTAGACGGCTTTGGGGGTCCAGAAATTACCAGACATACAGAGATTGCAGAGAAAGGCTTTATTGACAATATAGGAGCATGTGTAGGCATGAATATAGTCCTCATTGGCTAGCTGGCTCTGCAAAGGTATGTGTAAGTTGAGATCTCAGACTTTCCAGCTCAATAGAAAGGCAGAAACTAGGCAATAAACCCACTGATTGGCTGTATTAATGCCAGTCTTCGCTCTGCAAGTGACTGCATTTGTATGGTGTTATGGGAAAAAACCATTCTATTCCATGAGATGCTGAAACTCGATTATCCTTTATCCCTCCTTCCACAGATCTTTCCTGTGTTTACATGCTCCATTTTCACTTCTCTCACAACATGGCCGAAAAATGATGACTGCTCTTCCACCTCTTTGAAAACCTCTTGGTTGCTTTTATTTTTGGCTGTCTAAGGTATTTTTAGCATTTTTCTGTAAAACCCCATCTGCGAGGCCTCAAGACAGTGTTTGCCCTGCCTACCGATTGTCCAGGACTCACAGCCATATGTTAAAACTGGATGAATGTAGCAAGCAAGAATTCTTTTTTCTAATCTTCAATGACAGAGACAGTTTGCATAAGATGTTCTTCATTTTATAAAATGCAGTTTTTGCCTGTCCTGTTATGTTTCTTATCTCAGTTATGCATCTTCCATCTGATGTTATCCATGTGAGATACTTAAATTTATATGCCATCACAAGAGTTTAAACACGTAAGTGGATATCGCAAAGGAAGGAATGGATTATCCCCCATACACATTCAGCTAGGCACTTGATAATGATAACCCTAGTAGATCCTTACGTATTTTGCGTGTGGCTGAAGCAAGATAAAAAAAAAAAAAAATCAAACAGGAAGTGCAATAACGGGACTGTTATTCATTCTGCAATATTTTCGGCATATGTCGATATTACATGATCGATTCGATACAGGCTAATGCATTACATATAATAGCACCGCACGTTTAAAACGATTAACACTTCAGTTTCTACTTGTTTTGTAGCGCAAGGAAAAAACTGTAATCATAGTTGGTTTTCTTCCTTCGTTTTAAACCCTTTTTGCTTGCCTAATTGCTCTAAATATGTTGTTCTGTTATGTTTTCAATTCATTTACTACGAAGGAAATCTATAATTTAGGTGAAAACAAAATGAGCAGTGAAACTGTTGCATTTCTTTCACATACGTTACGCCATGTTAATAGTCGAATTTTTTAAGCTTTAGAGATGGTAGCCTTGTATTGATATCGAATCTTTCGGTAGTGTTTTTCAAATTTTTGAATGTTTTATTTTCTTCTGGAAAGAAAACGTCTTTTACTTTTTCTATTTTAATTTTGCGCCATAAAGTCACGTTGTTTCCTAATGTCTATTTACTACAGCGTTTAGTGAGAAAGTGAGGGAATCTTTAAAAAGATAAACAAGACAACCCTATTACAAATTATTTCTTGTTTGTGCAAAAAAAAAAAAAAAAAGAGACGTGGTCATGAACCTGCGCTTGCCCTTGTAAAAATAGGCAGTCACTTTTGAGTGTGTTTGATATTTTAAGTTTTTATTACTGCTGTGAAGTCTTCACTTCTTTGCTTCACTGTTTTTAAATGTTTGTGTAGTATGCACCTGCGGAGAAACAGCGACATATGTCAGGCAATGAAATATGAAATCTATTGTTTGTGTCTTTTTTGGCTCAAATTAATCTTTGAAGTTGACAAATGCATGCTCTATAAGTCTGAGGAAAAGTGACAAAAGCACATTACAAAACTTAACCAGAAATATGAGGAATGCAATGTGAAAAACATTACGTGGAATAGGTAATCAACACTAACATTAGCACTTGAGTTGCATAAACATATTACCCTCGACATTGGTTTGTCACTTATAACCTCCTTTGCTCATGCAGCATAACCTCACACAGATGTGTCTAGCTAGGTAACATACCATTACTGTGTAAACATACACACACACATACACAAACACACACACACACACACACACAAACACATCCCACCCTAAAAACATATTTTTGTGACTTAATCTCCCAGTGCACCACAACTAAGACGCCACGCCAAGCCTTTTGTAGGCATATTCACGACTAGATTAATTTCGCTAATGTCTTTTTTTTTTTAAACTGGGTGCGTTAACCATGCTTGTTGTCTCTTAGGCAATAAGTCTGCCCTTTGATCTAATTTATCTCACCTGGTTTTTCAGCATTGACTTAGTACTGGTCGTAGTTGATATTATTGTCAGTAAGCGAAATGATACATAAGTTACCGAAATGCCGCATTTTTGAAGCATCAGAATATCAATATGCACACCCACACACAGAAAAGCAGCTGATAAATTCGTTGTTCGTACCAACTATGTGCTATCAGTGCCAGACATAGACAATCTTAGAACAACCTAAACGCAAAGCTACATGTGGGGATGTTTTGTTTAAGAAATGCAGCGGAAAAACCCAGAAGAGAAAGTGCCACCAATGAAAAAGTGAGAACAATAGGAGCCACAGTACCTCTGAATGATTTCATAGAAGATCAAAAACTGAAATGATTTGGTCATATATACAGAATAGATCACAATTATCCAGCACCTAGAGCATACTATACGAAAACAGCAGTCTACACGTCAAGAGACCGACCAAGAAAGAGATGACTGAGGGAGTAAAAGAGACTTTACAGAAACGCAGTAGGACATTAACACAAGCTACACAGCTATCAAAAGACAGGAAACTACAGACAACTCCTCTCTGCGACGCTTTACCACATAAGACGTAGGACAAAGGAAGAAGCGAAGAAAAAGAACGAATTGATAACTGTTCTGTACACTTATAGTTCAGTAAAGTGTCGTTTCTGCGGTAATCACATGGCAGTAATGAACTTCCGTTGATGCAATGAGATGTACAGTGTAACTAGAGGAGATGGGTGATTTGTGAATTTCGGTGGAAAGGATTCATAGTTGTGCTTCCCCATATGTTATGTTTCTTTTAGTAATACACACGACGAGCTACGGCGAAATATGTCAGCCAATAAACTGTCAGTATATCGTGTCCTCAATCTTTAAATTAACTACATAAAAACATGGTATTTTTCCCAATCTAGAACCTACTTTACACGAGAGAATGTATTAGAAAACGTTATAAAATGGTCCAAAAAATATATTTAAAATAAAAAGCTACACACAATGAAAGAAGAAAGTTATGATAAGCAACGATTAGATATATTATGGCAAAGGTTCTACATTAGATCTGCAGTGAGACATGGGTGCGTTCCATCACCACTACTGTTCCTCACAAACATCGACCAAATTTGCAAACCAGCTACCACCAGCGAGAGGGACAACATCAGAGAATTACTAAATTAACTGCTTTTTGCCGATGACCAGGCAACCATAGCACCAACAGTAGTTCAGCTACAAGAACATAGTAGTAGACTCCACTCAGAATGTGACAACTACTATATGAAGATCAACGTGGACAAAACAGAAGTGATGCCATTCTTTAGAAAAGAAAGAACCACCAATATAATATCAAATTTGACGAATACCAATTAAAGCAGGCGAAGGATTTTACATATCTGGGAAGCATTTTTTTCAGAAGACGGAAAAAAAAAATCCAACATAGATGCTATAAAGCCTATCAAGTTTTAGGCCAAATGGCACCAATTCTGAAATGCAAGCATGTGAATGTGAACACTCAAAGAACGCTATTTAACACAATATTCTTCCCAACCCTCTGCTATCAATTTTCCTGTACAAAGGCGCCTGCAGTGCCTCAAAGAGACTCACGAGAACAAACCTCTAACAAAACATTATATACGGCGAGCGAACGCCCAATGAAGCCATCTCATAACACTTTCACAGGACAAGCCGTGCGAAAGGCTGCGGCATAAATGAGAGGGAAAGGAACTCTAGCAAGGTGGGCGAGTTCGTGATAAGTTCCTTGGTCAGTTTTTCACACCTAAAAATGACAGACCTGAAGTGACTTTAAGGAATCAGCCAAGTCAAGCAACAAATATTAAAGCGTTAATGGAATTCTTCCAGCTGTGAATTTGAGCGAAGTAAACACAAACAACAGAATGCACAAAATATTGCCTGGCATTTAGTCGGTCACTATTAACCACGATTGTCTAGTTTACCGCAAACAAAAAGCCATAGTTGTAAACTTGCATTTACCCTGGTAAAACTGATGCAGTTAAGTATAAGGCATTTCTGTATTTTAGTTGAATGAATGCACTAATATTTCACACTTTATTTGTTACTGTACAATGAACTTGACAAGATGCAGTCACATGTACCAGAAAATAAATTGTGCAAATATCTTGTCTACGTCTTCTTCGTTGAAATATTAGTGCGTTCAATGCTTTAAAACATTCAAGAACGCATTTCGTCACAGTACATTTTTTTTTTTTCTGGTGCGGCCCGATAACAACTTCTTTAGTGCGCCTGCCTTGTAGTTGTTATATTCAGTCTATAACCCCATAGGAAAGAAAATAGCTAGACATATTAAATCTATTCTGTCTAACCAATATCCTAACACGCTGACACATGATGCTAGGTTCATAGGTACACACACGTTTACATATAGACAGACCAACAAGATAAATTAACTCAACGAATACATCCTATTTTTGCAGGTGCGGAAGAAGAGTTTTGTGAAGAACAAGACGGACTTTTTCAGGCCTGTACACAACGAATGGAATCTATTTACTTTGCCAGAAGCGAAAAGCTTGATGTACTTTGCAGGTTTGACAACGGAACATTTTATGTGTAAAAATATAAATATAAATAATTAAAACTCCCCCAGCCCTAGGATTACGCTTCGGGAAAAGCCAAAAATACTCTTTAATGCACCATAATAATAACAGTAATAATAAAAAAATAAAGAAAAAAGAAAACAACATCAAGGTAAAGTGATCTAGGTCAGAATTATCATTGGCATCTTGAGAGCTAATAAACTGAAATGGTTGTTGCATATTGAAAGAATGTCAGATGACAGAGAAGCAAAAACTGTATACACCAGGGAGATGAATGGTCGTAGACAACGAGGGAGACCAAGAAGAACACGGAGAGATAATATCCAGACAGACTTGCAAACACTTGGTGTTAAAAACTGGAAAGAGAAGGCCAACCAGAGAGATGAATGGAGGCGGGTGATATCTGCAGCGATGAACCTCAAAGGCTCGGAATGCTGGAGAAGAAAGCCAATGAGAGAGATGAATGGAGGCGGGTGATATCTGCAGCAATGAACCTCAAGGGCTCGGAATGCTGAAGAAGAAGAAGAAGCTCTAGCCTAAGTAAATGTATAACTATTCGTGTGCAGGAGATACAAATAAAACTCGTGTAACTTCGAATATTTCGCGGCGCCCCTGTGAAAAGGGTCGTAGCTCCATGGGGCGCCGCGGCGCACAGTTTGGGAATTACTGGCCCAGGTAACCGTGGTAACTCTCCCACTCAACTCCGTTTTGCTACAACAGTGAGCCACATACAGCATTGGCATTTCGGTACTGAGGAAATGAAGCGACAGTTTGAGCCAGCCACGGTAGTGAACACAGTAGACACTGTACATTCCGATCTTGTCCAGGAAGCTCTTCGTCGCCTTGCCCGCTAAAAAATATGTACTTGACACTGGACAGAAGCGGCAACGGAAGAAGAAGAAAAAGAAGATGAAGAAGAAAGAAGAAGAAGAAGAAGAAGAAGAAGAAGAAGAAGAAGAAGAAGAAGAAGAAGAAGAAGAAGAAGAAGAAGAAGAAGGAAGAAGAAGAAGAAGAAGAAGAAGAAGAAGAAGAAAAAGAAGAAGAAGAAGAAGAAGAGGAGGAGAAGAAGAAGAAGAAGAAGAAGAAGAAGAAGAAGAAGAAGAAGAAGAAGAAGAAGAAGAAGAAGAAGAAGAAGAAGAAGAAGAAGAAGAAGAAGAAGAAGAAACCATAGAACCACAATTCTGTTTTTTCCCCGTCCACTTTTGGATATTAGTCTTGCTTTGCGTGTACATACGTGTTATAGATCTCGATTACACGTATGCAGACTGTTTGTTTCTTGCTTCTCGGGCAGACGAGGCAGTGTCTCTAGCTCCTCCCGCCTTCTGTTTATTTTTTTCCCTACCCACAATGAGGTCCCAGAACTAATACAGAGAACATTTTTTGTGTCAACCCCTAATTGGTCTACTCTTACAATCTGCCTGTTAGGACGCAGTTTGTCTACCCCCAACCACCTTTAATTTCTTTTCACTCAACCCACCCACATTGAGGTTCCATAACCGATACAGGAAAAATTATGGGAACAGTCAGTAGAGGCACCTTGATATTGTTGCAGCACTGGCATGAATAACAATTTCACTTTGACATTGATCGTGAAAACGTAACAACATTATGTAACAGAACATCAGATAGCTGAGCACAGTAGAATACACTTCTGTATGTAACTTTTCGCTTTTGCAAGTAAATGGCTCAGTACTGGCATAAATAACTATTTCACTGTGACATTGATCTTGAAAACGTAACATTACATAACAGTACATCACATAGCTGAACACAGTAGAATACATTTCTGAATGTAACTTGTCGCTTTTGCAGGGAAATAGCTCAGTATTTGACTTGTGTCCACGAGACAAATATCTCATGCCCGGAGATTCCCATCTTTCAAGATCGTATTTATGCCGAAGCGATCCAGAATGCGAGGAGTCAACTGACTCGTTTTTGTGAGTAGTGTCATGTCTTTTTAGACACAGAGACATACAATCAGATCATCATCATCATCATCATCATCATCATCATCATCATCATCATCATCATCATCATCATCATCAGGTGCCTTGCCGACTGGCGTAGGCGATCATGTCTCTCCATAATCCACGATCTCCTGCAGCATGTATCAGTTCGTGTGCCGATACACCTCCAAGCCATGCAACTAGACTGTCAAGAATCTTCTCTCGTTGTCTTCCTCTATCCCTTCTTCCAGAGATCTTTCCAGTGGTCACAACATGTTCTATTTTTCCTCTTCTCGTAACATGGCCAAAAAATGTTGACTGTCTCCTTCTGATGTCTGTGATAAGTTGTCTTCGGGCTCCCTCCTCTTTCAAAACCTCTTGGTTGCTCTTTTTGGCTGTCCAAGGTATTCTAAGCATTCTTTTGTAAAACCACATCTCTGAGGCCTCAAGAAATTGTTTGGCCTGCCTACCGATTGTCCAGGATTCACAGCCATATGTTACAACTGGATGTATGTAGCAAGCAAGAGTTAAATCAGTTAATTAGTTTTTCATTAACGCACTCTTGAGCTAATTATTTACTGTTTTTAAGTTGTACAAGACACTACTCTGGGTACAGTGTTACAAATAGTAAAGGTCAATATACTGACAATAAACACACACGCGCACACACACACGCACACACTTGTGCTCTTAATTGTGGCGTATTTGTGGACATTTTAAGTAAAAACATTGTCTTAAACCAGTGGCTGACTTATATGGCGTGTATATAATGAGCTTGGGATGTTTAGGATGTAGGTCATAATCAAAATTATGTGCTAAAAATCATAAGGTCGCCTTGTACAGTGTGTTGACTTGTACGCAGAAATTTACGGTACACATTTACATACATACACACATACGACACTCACTCCGTGGCTTAGGCGTTGCGAGTCCGACTCGTAAGTCCAATGTACCGCGTTTGAAACCCACTGCTGGCTGCGTGGATTTTTATCATGGTATGGGACGTTGCAGGTTGACCCAAACTAATGGGGTATCTGGAGAAGTAAAGACGGCCGGCGTAATGCTGACCACATAACCCACCTAGTGCCGATGGTCTGTAAAAATATGGGTGCTTTACCCATATGCCCGATGCGCCTTAAGGCGTGAAAAGGGATCTTTACTTACTTACGTTTATACTACACACACATTTAACATAAACATGTATACATACATAAATTTAGACATGAAAAGATGTACCGAAAACGAGAGGTCACAGAATCTATGTTAGTTACGTATATCTGTGTTTCCATGGTTGGCCAGGCACAAGCTACAACATTACTACCAAATGTACTGAGAAATTTGTGCATCAACTTGTGAGGAATTGCACTGTCCTACTGAACAAAGTTCAGTTTCACACACCTAGAGAGGATATGTGCCAGTAAGTTCATTCATCTTCAATTATTATCATTTAATAAGGATGAACTGCATCCTGGTTTTCTCTTGTACGATTAATAAACAAGCCAAAACAATTTCACGAGGCCTCAGAGATGTGTTTTACAGAAGACTGCTTAACATCCCTCAGAAAGCCAACATGAGTGAGCCTAGCGTTTTGAAAGAGGCGGGGGCCCAAAGACAACTCATCTCAAACATAAGGAGTCATCAGCTTTGGGCCATGTTATCTGAAGGAAAGTGGAACAAGTTGTGACCACTGGAAAAGTCTGTTAATTAAAATAAACGACAGCGCGAGGAGATAGATACTTGACAGCCTGTTGTTTTGGGATGTAATGATGTCAGCATATGGGCTAATGAATACTGTTGAAGATCGGAGATTGTGGAAAGGCATGATCGCCTACGCCAGTCAGCAAGGCATTAGATTATGATACAGATGATGCTCTGTTAAACCATGACAAACATAACCGTTGTCTGGTCATAGGCTTTCTATGCTTTGCTAATGCATGCAGCTCACCCCATGTCCTCCCTATACTTATTTTAACATCACTCTCTAACCTCCTTCTCTTCGTGTTTTTTAAAATGTGCTTTTATTTCTTTTTCCCTGTGGGTTTCAGTGCAAAGACATTCCAGTTATAGTCTTTTCAAGTTTTCCCAACGCGTGTCCTATTCAACGCCAGCGTCTTTTCTTCACCTCTGGGCCCACTGGAATTTGTTTAGTTCTCTCCTAAAGACAGAATTAGTAATTCTGTCATACCATTTAATTCACTCAATTCTGTTTAGGCACAAGTTAATGAATGTTTGTAGTTTATTTGTAATTATTTTTGTTGTTCTCCATGTTTCTCTTGCATACAACAGTATTGATTTGACGTTACAATTGAAAATGTTAACTTTTGTGACAGTTTATAAACTTTAAATAACGCTTTTTTAACGTTGGAATGAATTGTTACTAACTGGTAAAATTCTACTGAAATATGGAACAGATGTGTTGTGTCGTAACAGACTAGCCCAGCACCATGATCATATAACCACTGATAAACCGCTCCTGTATGGTTTCATCAATATAAGTCGTTCACATGTTAGATGCAATTGGTCGTTATTTGAAGCCCCACCATGGCTTTTGCCGAGGACCCTGAATATAACCGGACCATAAATATGGCTGAAAGGGGTTTCTGGGACCTCTCCACGGGCCATCCTCATCTGCATGGGGGCACGTTGTGTCACCTGGTGTTTATCGCTTGTGTGATGTCCTAGTGGGGCACAACAAGAGAGAGAGAGAGAGAGAGAGAGAGAGAGAGAGAGAGAGAGAAAGATATATATATATATATATATATATATATATATAGAGAGAGAGAGAGAGAGAGAGAAAAAGAGAGAGAAAGATATATATATATATATATATATATATATATATATATATATATATATATATATATATATATAGAGAGAGAGAAAGATATATATATATATATATATATATATATATATATATATATAGATTGAGAGAGAGAGAGAGAGAGAGAGAGAGAGAGAGAGAGAGAGAGAGAGAGAACCCGTTTCCTTCCGTTTTTTCCCTACCTTCTGGGGTATTCCATGAAGGTTTGACACGCAGAGATTACATAATCTGAATCTGGATGGCAGACCAGCAGGGCAGATCCCAGATACCCTCCCAAAATGTTATCATTGGCGCACCCGTAAGGGCTACAAGAGCCCTGTGTCACCAGCAGCCTTGACAGGGTAGGGATTCACTAGCGCTAATACCTGTATGCAGTCCAACGGTAATGAAATGTCGCACACATAACAGCAATGCTGAAGCATTAAGCATTTAAACAAAGTATACTGCACATTCCCTATAGTTTAATGCTTTTCGATTAGGCATTTTTTTTTTACAACATAGGATAATAGTATAAAGTTGACGAGGTATGATTTAATAACCATCATCTTAGCACAAGAGACATTCCCTTAAGCGCTCAGTCCCCATTTTCATCAGCAAGTGCAGTTCCTATTTCGACGTTACCAGTAACAGTCTGATTGAATGTTCATTTCGTGTAACAGCAACAGTCTGTATGTCCGCTTCGCCGCTAACCTGAACTGAACGTCGGCCAGATTTCCCTGGTCACACCTCGCAACGCTGTTCTCTTGAGACCACGGTTCTTTTTGTGTGTGCCTCATCACTCTTTACTCGCTCCCAAGAGCCCTTACAACATCAAGATTTGAACAAAGAAGACACAAACAATAGATTGCACAATTTATTGCCTGGCATATTTCGCTGTATCTTGTCAGGTGCATACTACAGTAACAATTGATTAAAATGAAGCAAATAAATGAAACCTTCAAATCAGTACTATGTGGGGGATCAGATCAACTCTTTACTTCGCATTACTTTATCCAGCGCCCATTTTAGGCTGCGTTGACCTGGGTGCCAATGTTATTTTAAAAAAAAATCTACTTGGAAGGATTTGAACCTACGACCTTCGGGCCTGAGGCTAACTTCTAGCCGCTATACCACGGGGCTTCCCGAGTCCACGACGGAAGAAACTATTTAAAAAAAGGATTAATTAGGTAGGAACATAATTATGCACAATACGTTTTTAATATGAAACACATGCTTTTATTTAGATACAGCAAGGAATACCTCAAGTGCCTGAGGCGAGCCACTGAATTCTGTCCCAACAATACGGAATTTCTTCTTCACAATGTCCCACTGGCTATAGCTAGCACCGAAACCGCATTACGAGCTGTCTGTGAGTATAAAGTAAAAGTAAAGATCCTGTTTACGCCTTAGGCGCATCGGGTATATGGGATGTGTGTGAGAATGATATAATTGAAATTTTGCAGTCGCAGTCAATGTGCTCATTCTTGTTAATCCCAACCGTTACTAGATAGTTCCTCTTACCTTTTTAATCAATCAAGTACCGCCTCCACAATGAAGGTTGCCTGCAGTGAGTCTCCAACATGCTCTGTCGCTCATCTTGGTTGTACACTCACTGTTCCCCAGTCTCTTGATTTTGACCTTCCATTTATATTGAAGTCTTCCTCTTGCTCTCTTATCTCCAACTTTGCCCTCCAGTATGGTTTTTGTAAATTAGTTTTCTTTATTGTGGCCAAAAATTGTCCCCTCGACCCTTTTTTTTTATTTCTATAGCAACTCTCTCTCTCTCTCTCTCTCTCTCTCTCTCTCTCTCTCCCTCCCCCCCTCTCTCTCCCTCCCTCCCCCCCTCTCTCTCTCTCTCTCTCTCTCTCTCTCTCTCTCTCAGGAATCTCGTTTTTGATTGTTTTCGATTTCATGAAATATGACTTCTGTTTTACTAGTATTTATATTGTCAGCGCCTCTGGCTTAAGCGTTGCGAACGCTCTTTCTAATACCATCCATGATCTCCGGTTCTATCCTATCCAAGCTGCAGCCTATTTTGGCAGCAGGCCACTTTGCGTTGATTTCCTTAGTAGTATCGAGAATTGATCGTTAAGAGCAATGACAAACTTCTAAATATAAATTTGCCTAGAAAAACCATAGCAGCAACAAAAAAAAAAAAAAAAAATTAATAATAATAATAATTATGGGGTTGCTTCTGCATGTAAAGGAGGCACAATAAATTTTTGTTTTTATTTACTATATTACCATTTATGAAGATTCAATTCGATCTGTGTCTTTGAAGTTTTCACCTCCGGAATTGCAGTCTGAAAAATTATCACACAGTTACTCAACAAATAGCAGTTCGGATGGAGTCAAACAGGAGCAGATCGCAAGGACATGAGTAAACCTTATCGACTTATTATTGTTTGCTCGCGCCCCCCCCCCCCCCTTTTCCAAGATCTATAAAGCGTACTGAAGTGTTGAGTATGATTCTGGTAAAAAGATGCCGGTACTCACCATAGAGTGTCTAAAAAGATGCTAGCAGTCAGCAGTATGATCTTTTCCTGGTTTGTGGTGCTGTCTCCGCCCCCACCCCCTCCCTCACCCCAACGCCGAACTCGTGTTTACAAAGTGTAAGAGTTGTGAATGTTGCTCATATTTTTGTAAGACTGGGGTTACACTCGTTGTCGTTTGCAAATGAAATTGTAGTGTGTGGGTGAAAATTTGACAGACAAAAAGAAAAGAAGGAAAAACAACACGAAGGGAGGAATCTAAAAAAAAAAAGGGGGGGGGGGTGGAGGGGGTGTGGAAGGAAACTTCCTATTAACGATTAAAAAAATATGATGCCTGGATAAAGGTAACCGTACTGCTCACCGTTGCAAACCTCCAAGAGTAAATGCCCTGTTGTTGAGAATACATAGCTTGTGATAATTTGCAGTGGAATATACTGTTTATCTTTCAAGATATCAATAATTTTATCGTGGTTTTAAATTGACTTTTTCATACTAAGGTAACCTGATCTGCCCAGCGGCTTCTCGTACTGTATGTTTAGCCATTGAATGCACTTGTAATCGTTCCTAGTAATTTCCCCTAACAAAACTTGCTGTGAAATATACAAGGACAATATTATTCTTACTGAATATAGACTTCGTCATGAGGAAAGTTCCATGTGTGGGTCCCAGAGCCCTGTCTATTTGGGTGGGTTTGGGGCTGGGACGGGGTGGAGGGGAGCAGACCTAGTTCCCCCAAAAGCATGTCGTAAAAGGCGACTAGTTAGGGGCTTGCTGAAATAGAATAAGTCGTAACGAAAGGCGTAGATATCCTAAAATATCTGTACACTAAACCACAATGTGCCAGCCGCCATTTAAGCGCCCTACCCTGCCCGGCTTCGCATTACTTCGAAACCATTGGTGGCCCAATATAGCCTTACTGTAGAACCAGGTTTCTAGGATTTGTACCTGCGGGGTTCTCATCCTAATAGTGACTCTTTGGGTTACCACGGGTAAATCGCTCTATGTGGGGTACTAGTGTGCTTTAACTTCACTCACTGGCTTTACCTTTTAAGGGCGAAAGTGTAATAATAATAATAATAATGATAATGAGCAATATCTGCCACCAGATACGCAGTCCATTGGGTTAACGAGTGACCAGTTTGTAGATCTGATCGTGACAACAATATTGCTCTCACGTACCACGCATTAAATCAGATACAAGATGAATTAAACAAAGCAGTAAGGTGCAAACATTAACATAGAAAATAAAGTAATGAAGACATATCAAACGAATATAGCCGGAGCATAGGTATGACCTAGCCATAGATATGGCCTAACGGCTAAAAGGTGTGTCTGGGACCTCTTAGCAGGTGATCCTCGTCCGCATGGTGGCACTTTGTGTCACCGGGTATTTATCGCTTGTATGATGTCCTGGCGGGGTACAACTACATACCTACCTATACGCCTTTTTTACCTGTTTGGCTATCATTCATGAACCGTATCAAGGTATTTAGTGTCTATGGCAGGAAGGTCATGTAACATTCGAAGAATATAGACATTTGCTTTCATGAATGTAAGCCGCGTTCATCAGTGTTGTGTGTTTATATGTGTGCTGGGTGTCGCCCTTCTAGCCTTCTTCAACAAATTGAAACTCATTGTGATCCCTTCACATGGGATGCTGCCACTTGGGGAGGGGGGGGGGAGGGGGGGGGAAATTGAGGTTTTTTTTGGGGTGCTTCCCCGACCCTACTTTTGTTTTCTATGTGGCGCCCATGGCATCTGCCCTCTCTGCTATAGGGACACCACTGCTCTCATTCGTAAGCTTACCAACCATGTATTTGATCTAAAGGTGATGATATCCAAGAAGACAGCCCGGATGCTCCAGTAAGTAGCATGCCATCAGTAGCTCAGAGTTTGTGCTCCACTGACACGATATATACCGAGGCAGAGAAATGCGTCGGGCATATACAACATCCCCCAGAAGTCATGGACATCAACGGCTGCAGGTCTGTACTGCTTTGATTATAAACACACACGCTCACAGAGAAGGGGAGCCGCTGTAGCATAGGGGTTAGATACTCGACTGTCGGTCTGAAGGTATAGTGTTCAAATCTGTACCGAGGAGGTTTTTTTCCTTTCAGTTTCCTCAAAACTGACAATGGCTCCCAGGTCTACCCAGCCTATAATGGGTACCAGCTAAAACCCTGGGAAGTAAAGGCAGCCGGCGTGATGTTGACCACACACGCCATCGAGTCATAACTGTCTTAACAGCAATATAGGCCCCTGGGCAAACCAGTGTGCTTGAGTCCCTTCGACAAGCACCCACAGTAGTGACATTTTTTAAATTTATATCAAGTCACGTGACATACGCACATTTGCATGGGGCTCTCTAATCTCCTGGGGTTTCCGGGCAAGCGCCCAGGGTGCCCATGCATCAAGTCAGCGTTCTCAGCCTATGGGGCGTGACCCTTTTTTGGGGTCGAACGACCCTTTAACAAGGGTCGCCAAAGACCACACATATTTATTGAAGTTATAAAGTAGCGACGTAAATAGCTGTATTGTTGGGGGTCACCACAACACTAAGAACTGTATTAAATGGTCGCGGCATTTGGAAGGTGGAGAACCACTGGTCTATATCAATGTAGGGCTAGCACTATATGCCCGTTGCGCCAAAGGCGGGAGAAGATCATTTACTTTGCTCCACTCTTGCCCATAGTCACAGTAATCATGGCTCCCACTCCTCGATTATGTAGGCATGAAGATAACAAAAGGGACCTGTGCTATCGAGTTGATCCAGCTTAAAATAATGCAAATACTAACAGGTTTCTTTCCGTATTGCCGTATAGCAACACTAACATCAATAGCAAAAATACAACACCTCCCACTTTTGTTGCTTCTACAGCTACTACTCTTATCATTACCACCACCACCACTGCGATTACTGCTAAGACAACAACAACTGCTGCTGCGGCTACTACTACTGCGACTACTACTACTACTACCACCACCACCACCACCACCACCACCACCACAATTTGTACTACTACTAGTACTAGCACCACCATCACCACCAGCACCATCACCACCAACACTACTACTTTTGCTGTTACAACAACAATAACAACAGTTACTACTATTACTATATAATTGTTAGAACATCATAACTGCAATTAATATTATGCTGTTACTACAACAGCAGCAGCAGCAGCAGCAGCCGCAGAAACACTATCCTCGTATTGGTTCCCGGGCCTCATTTGGGGGATAAGGAATAGACCGACTGTACCCCTAACAAACGTGTCGTAAAAGACAACTAAATTCGATTGTTTCCTTCGTATGTTTCCTTCGTAGCCAGAGTGCATCTGCCTGAGAGGTGAGGTATCAACAGGCTGCATACAAAGAAGCCAGATCTCTAAAACAGATGTGCATAAAAAAATCCAGTTCTGGATCAAGATGGTTCAGAAGTGGATGAACAACCAAGGCGTAAGGTCCAGAAGTGGACGAACAAGCAACACTTTTTGCCGGAGTTTATAGCTGATGAACGCAAAGAAGAAGACGAAGAGACAAACAATACGACTCATGCAGCTGTTACTATTGCAGGGTTTGTTTAAATGCTTTTTTTTTAAGAACTCCTCTTATTACTTAACAAAAATATAATGTTGACATGCTCAGTTTTCCCGTTGAGGTTACATTTATGTAGACTGCTCTCTTCTAAGATACATACATTTTTTTTAGTACATTCACATTAATGTCGAGTGAGTGACGTTTCTAGTACATTCACATTAACGTCGAGTGAGTGACGTTTCTAGTACATTCACATTAACGTCGAGTGAGTGACGTTCAATCCCACGAGGATCCCACAACGAGCGATAAACATCCGGTGACACAAAATGCCACCATTCGAATTACAATCACTCGGTTACAAGTCCCAGAAACCCCATCAAACTTTAGTTTATAATAGGGCCTCCGACTACAGCCGGGATGGGGCTATAAAACAACAACAACAACAACACAAAAATGCTGGGACAAGGTTTTACACACATTAACGTCTAAACGTATTTGGAGGAGGAAGAAGAGGAAGAGAAGAACAAAAGATAAGGACGCGATTTTTTGATTGTGAATAATTAAAATGAGAAATAACTGTATGTTTATTGCTACATCTATTACTTACCCTTACAGACATCACCAAACCTTTGTGTCGTGTTTGGATCACCTTTTACAGAACTGCCCGAATGCTGAAACCGTCTACACGCAACTGCTACATCAGGGGCGGGAAACGTTTGGTATTCTGTGTAAGTGTCCGGTTTTTAGAGACAACAAGATTACCCACAAGGCCTTTGTCGTCTTCGCGTAACCCGCTGTAAACTCCGGAGAAAAGTTCTGGTTATTCGCCAACTTCTGGACTCTAGTCTTGTTCCAGCGAAAAGTTCTGGTTCTTCGCCCACTTCTGGACTCTATAGTCTTGTTCCAGCAAAACTTCTGGTTGTTCGCACACTTCTGGACTCTAGTCTTGTTCCAGAACATGGGTGTTGCGTGCACATTGCTGTACAGATTGTTGATTCCTCACCTCTCAGGCAGAAGCACTACGACTTCGAAGGCAACCCCAAATTAGTCCACTCTTACGACATGCTTGTTGGGGAGGCAGTAGGTCTATTCTAGTTTTTCTCCACAGTACCTGGACTGAATCAAGTAGCTATGGTAACAACAGGGCCAGATTTAGACCTAATGTGGTAATTCATCCAGTAGGACAATTTCTAGGGATTTTTGTGTGGTTGTTATTGTTGTTGTTCTTATAAATATTAAAAGAAAATCGCATTAGTGGAAACAAGAGGAATTTTTGTAGGCCTTACAGATTATGAGGCCCCAAACTCTAGCTTAGTTAAAAAAGAATCTTTTTAACACCATGAGGCGTGTTAGGCAAATAGGGCTAGACCTATATTTTATAGACCAATCGGCACTTGGTGGGTGATGTGATCAGTATCACGTCAGCCTCCTTTACTTCCCAGGACTTAGTTCCAATGTAAGGCTGGCTGGAGCTGGGGGTAGCTTAGTTAGCTTATACGTGGAAAGATATAAAACCGCAAGATAAATAGACCAGAGAGCGTTATAATATGACGAACACAAACTGAAAGTGAACGTTGCGGTTACAGAGTCTTCATCATCACATTTGATGAATCAAACAAAAACCACACGAACACACATAAATCTCTCAACTAAAAAACGACATGCGCGGCTCAAGAATAAATAGCCCGACAATTTCAAGGGTTGTAACCCTAGGCTCTTAGATAAAACTATGTTGACAGTTCAGTCTTCTAGGTTTTGTCTACCCAAGGTGAAAAAAAAAAAAAAAAATAAAACCATTCTCAAGAGACTTGAGGACTGTGGCTGGAAATGGCTAGATTTAATGGCTGTCACCTCCATGTCACGGACACCTTGGTGATCCTGAGAATTGAAGTGCAACGGTACTGGTTTCAGGAAACCGTTCTGCAGATCCAAACGATTTTGTCTTAAGCTTTCAATGAGTCGTAGACCCGTTTCACCGATAATTGTCATGCCACAATGTGCAAGGTGGCATTCGGTAATTCTAGACTTTTTCTCCTGAACCACGTATGGACAAGTCTAGCATACAGGTCTGAGACGGGAGACGATGCCTAAATGGGACTCAGACGTAGGAAGTAACCGAATCTTGACCAGAGTGCCATTGAGGTTAGGGTCATATCTCTAGGCGACTGCGCGAAGTTCAGAGAAAATCGTGCTGGTGCCATGGTCAGCTCGTAGGATTGATTTATGCCTGAAGAGAAGGTTTTTTTTACCATGGGTGTTGTGAGGGTGGTAGGTAAGTGAGAGGACAGGACTGTTGTGGTGACGTTAAGGCTTGAAAACGATGGCATTAGCACCACTGAAAGACAGTGATTAGTGAAAGGCAGCAGATGAGATATGTTCAGGGTAACCTCAAAGCATTTCCGGGGCCCCATGATGAAAGTAATCGTTCTGCTGACACAGTCTACGGAGGCGTGTAAGCTGGGAGAAAAAGAATAGTCCTTGCAGGAAGACGGATCAGAAGATGTTCAGAGAAAAAAAATGGAAATCACTAGGCATATAGTACACCGAGGTGTCGAGGCCTTTAGACTCTAAAGTGACAGTGAGATCCAGAAAATAAACTGATGACAGCGAAAAGCTGGAAGTGAATCAGATACTAGGATGGAAGTTGGAGGGAAACAAAGTGCATGAAGTCCTACAGTTCCGACAGGGGCATATCGGAGACACCGATGCAGTCATCGATATAACTTCTATAGAGCTCGAGGAGCCTACCGGTGTCTGCATGACGCATTCGATGTTCAAGATAGCCAATGAAGTGGCAAGCATCGCTGGGTCCCTTTGTGTTACCCATGGCGGCGCTGCTGATTTTGTTGAAGTAGTGGCCATTGAACTCTAAAGACTTGAGAGTGAACAATAAGTCAGCCAAAAGTCAGTGGCTATAGTAGGACTGACTCTGCAATCTAAAATGAACCGCAAAGCCCGCAGAGTGTGGAATATAGGGATGTAACTCTAAGGTGAAGATTTGATACCCGGAAAGAGGTAAGTCGAATTGACATGCCTAAATCCAGCACTTGATAACAAGGGAAGGCAGCTCCAGGACACGTAATGCCGTAGGCCGTTCGACGAGTTATTCCTTTACATAGACTAGACAGAAACAATCATTAAAAAGCCAGTTTTTATGTTTTGAAGCCTTTAGTGCAAAGGGTGCCAGTCCGTCCTACATTTGACTTGAGCGATTGGCACCTGATGTGGTGGTGGTGGTAGTGATATTAGTGGTAGAAGAAGTAGCAGTTAGCGGCAAGAATAGTCAAGGCAGCAGTCTGTAGATTAAAATAAGAGATTGCTCGAAGTAATTTGGTAATCACCCTGCTCCTTAGTAAGATATTTGTTCCCATGGCAGTACATAGTCTAAAAATATTGTCGCTTTTTTGACTAAGTAAAATGCAAGTAACATATACGTTTTTATTATGTCACTCGTTTCGTATTTTTCGTATTTTCTGTTAATTTAATTTGTTTGAACTGAGTAATTTTACCTACCCTTGTGGCGTTGTCTGTTATCTCTTTAAAAAAAAAAAGTAAAGGACCCTTTTCCACGCCTTTAGGCGTATAGGGCATTTAGGGCTAGACCTATATTTTATAGACAAATGGCACAAGATTGGTGATGTGGTCAGCATCACGCCGGCCGCCTCTACTTCCCGGGACTGCACCTGGTACCCACTCAAGGCTGGGTCGACCTGGGAACCAAGGTCATTTTTTTTAAAAGTCCGGCTCCGCCAGGGAGCAAACCTGTTATCTCCTATGTAGTTATAATTCTTCATGTTTTGCTATGTCATACAGTAGCTCGAAAGTTTATACTTTGTCATGGCAAATCGCGATCTGTCCATATAAACTGTCTTTACTTCTCATAGTACGACCTTTTTAGGACGGTATATGTCAGGGCGGGGGTGGGGGAGGGGTGCATCTTGAGTCTGGGGATTAATGGTGGGCACAAAACTGTGCATATTCAGATGTTAATTTTTGTAAATAAAAATAGATAAAATAAAAAAACACCCAGTTCACCACCTTACCGAGTATTCTAACCCACACATCCTACTACACAAGTGTTTTAACCAATCAGTAAGTGGCTAATGAATTCGTCAGCTTTTAGATAATTACAATTTAAATAGTTAAAATATTTCTACCTCGATTTCTAAATTTGTACGTACTATAGATACTAGATTTAAAGGACCTTTTTCAGTGGGTATAATGGTTCTCTTAATGTCTTGGTTCGACCATATATTTGCAAGTCAAAATCTGTAAATGTATTTCTTATATTGTTGTTTCTGCGGCCATATTTTCCGTTTTTAAATAAAATACATACTTAGAGCGCCTAAATTCTGTGAGAATTTACCGCAGCTCTCGCCTGTAGCTATTGTCACCACTTTAGAAACTGGGTTCTATCGATTGATGCCTCGTAATTGAATTATCCGACTGCGTCCTTATTTTGTGGGTGGGCAGGAATAGCTAGGAAGGAAACTGGGCTTTCAGCTTTTAAACAATGTGACTTAGTGTTTATTTTAAAACTTTAGTGTTTTATGAATATAGCATCAGATTTTACCTTTACCCCGTTTGTTGTCCCATCGCTTTTCCTGCTGGTGGGTGAAATCCCAATCTTCCACTGGATTACTTGCTTGCTTGTTGTACCCTACCAGGACATCACACAAAATGCTACCATAAGGATGAGGATCACCCGTGGAGAGGTCCCGGAAACCCCTTTCAGCTGTTAAGGCCATAATTGGGCCCAGCTATATCCAAGGCCCCCGACAAAAGCTAGGGTGGGGCTTCAAATAACGAAAAATTGCATCCCACATAGGGGATGACTTGGACAATAACCCATGGATTACATCAGAAAATATGGTCCTTACATTAGGTTATGTCAAAGAGTAGGCTTGAGCAAATGAGACAAGAGAGTCTCAAAGACATGAAAACGTTATATTAAACACAATTTCTACATTAGGAAACTAGGTGATTACTAATCCTAGCCATCTCCTAAACATTTACGTTTTAAAATTCCCTTTCTTTTAATTCCATGCCGCTGTTACTAACAAAAACAGTCGTAATACTCATGTGAAAGGTAAACATTAACTTGTCCGTAATGGTTATTATTCCTATCGTCCATGTTACGTCACGCTGGTTATCTTACTTGTCCACAGTCTTCTGCTTCATGTAACTGCAATAAGTTCATCAAAGAAAATTGAAATAAAAGGTGATGATGACATTAATTTATAGTTACGATGGCCAAAGTCTCCTAATAAAAATGTTCAGTATATTTTTATATGCCCCCTAAGTACAACCCCCCCCCCCCCCCACATTTTGGGAGTCTAACTCTTCTCCAGTTTTTGTTTTTTAATGACCTGTCCAGATATGTTAAATGACCCCTTCTGATGCTGGTAGACATTTGCAAGTTCATTTATTAAGTTTACGAGTTATCATCATATTTTCATTAGCTTTATTATTTCAGTGATCGTATGCAATCTCTAGGGTAGGTAGGTAAGTTGTACCCCACCAGGATATCACACAAGCGATAAACAGTCGATGTCACTAAGTGCTACCATGCAGATGAGGATCAGCCGTGGAGAGGTCCTAGAAACCCCTTTCAGCCGTTAGGCCATATCTATGGTCCCGACAGAAGCCAGGGTGAAATTTCAAATTACAAAAATTGCATCCCACACGGGGACGACTTTTTGGACGAAAATCTAAGGGTTATAAACTTTCACCAACTTTTCGTTTCGATCGCTGTGTTCGGCGTTGCTAATTTGCATATTAGAAAAAGCAGTCAACACGATGCTAAGTGTGTTTTGGTAATTACACGAAACACAATTTGTTCTCATCGGAAATATATTACATTGCACTATTTAGGCATAAGTGCTGATTGGTCTATAAAATATACGTCTAGCCCTATATGTTCAATACGTCGGAAGGCGTGGAAAAGGGTCTTTTACTAGTTAGTCACAGTGCATTTGATTTGAGACATTTTGTTTTAATCGGAGCTACTTCCTTGACCGATGTTATGTTATTTTCCTGCATTATAGCAAATCTGCATCATTTTTACACGAGTGGTCAACCTTCAACCCGACTAACTTAGACAACCGTGCCAGAAGCAACGATACATCAGTAAACCTACCACTTGAAAGACTAGCTAACAAGGCTATTTTTATGTTCGATAGTAGAAACAACAGAGACTGAAAATAAATATCACTTAATCTAGGCATTATTGTTATTGTTGTATTTCTCAGGCGCAGAGTTCAAATGTCCTAAAGAAGTAGAGGATGAGGAAGAAGATACTGTTAGCTACTGCATGAAGGAATTTTACAGCGTTGAACCATCAACTGCAAAATATTGCCAGTAAGTGCTCCTGAATTGCTGACAGAGTTAAGATGTTTCCAACAAAATTTCGTCTTAGTCTGTTCAAGCATTCCACAGACACCGTCCTCTGTTTTCTGTCTAAATTGTTTTGCATTTTCCCCCTCAAAACTGTGTCCCATACCTTTTGTTGACAAATACATTCATTAATATAAAAACCAGTAGACCGAGTAGCTATTGAACAGCGTCGGACACAGCTTGTATATCTGGGGGAAATGACTGAGCTGGAAGTGAGCCGAGGGTGTGGACGATGTTTCACACGCGCGGGAAAAACAGGCGAACAGTTTAGGAGGTTGCAACTGGCACCAACAGTACAGAAACTCATCTTTAGGTACTGATGACCAGGGTTGTCAAAATTTTTGAGGAATAGTGTCAAATTTTGTTTTAATAGGTACCAAAACATACCAAGAGGTACACACTTTTTATTAAATAAAAAGACCGTTGAAAGGTCTTTTAGCCCTCTCTCTCTCTCTCTCTCTCTCTCTCTCTCTCTCTCTCTCTCTCTCTCTCTCTCTCTCTTACATACACACTCTCACACACTCACGACACCGCTGCAATGGCCTTTCAAACTAAAACAAAAGCGCACTTAACTAGTCCCGTGAAATTGCACATTTGCATTAAAAAAAAAAAAAACGTCATCATGCTTATTTCCAGGATACTCCCAATAAATTTTTTCTAAGGTTAAACACAATGACAAAATAAAGTATGTTGATGCACAATTTATAAAACGTACCAAAATATCAAGGCGTGGTACAAAAAGTATAGTTCTGCTCGCCAAGGGTCAAACTATAAAATGTGTAAGAAAATACCAACTGCGGCAGCCCTGCTGACGACGGGTACTAAGCCCATTTGTAAAAATTCTAAGTGCAGTGATAACAGTTCATTCATTCACTGTGAAGGAACAAATAGAGCGTCATGGTCTGAGGAGAATGGTACTACGGGAAGTGACCAAGAGGATCTGGTCGACGCTCAATATTAAGCAGAAAAACGAGATAGAACTCTGCTCTTGCTGCTGAAGAGGGGAGGGAACGCTTGTGGGAGTGTCTCAGGTGCTGTAATGTCGATTTTTCATTCATTCATTCATCCATTGGCTGGTTAGTTCCTTCATTCATTGACAAGTAAAGAGTAAAGATCCCTTTACACGCCCTTAGGCGAATCGGGCATATGTGAAGAGCACCCATCATTTTTCATCGGCACTCGGTGGGTAATGTTCACGCCGGCCGTCTTTACTTTCTGGTACCCATTTCCTCGACCTCACGTCATTCACGATAAAAATCCACGCAGCCCACGCAGGTTTCGATCGCGGTACGTTGGATTACGAGTCAAACTTGCAACGCCTTAGCCACGGACGCCGCCACACATATCTGTTTTTGTGAATGATCCTCAGAAAATTACAACAAGTTCCAGAGTGTATTCATGACGTTAGGTTCTCTGTGTCCACCATTACGAAGTCCATTCAGACTTGACGGGGCTTTACAGCTGATCAATACAGTGCTGGAGAACAACTGTAAGCTAGCTAGCTACAGACTATTTCACATTCAGCCACTTGATTATTTTGTTTTGTTTCTTGTCTTTGTCGTAATATTTTTTTTTTATTACACTGTGTATAGATCAACCAAGATGATGCATCACATTTTTTTAAGCGCCGCTAGAACTACATCGGTTATGCACTCGGAAGAGATAAGACCAGACACCCCCCCCCCCCCAATATCGTATCAAACCCTCATATGGACACCGGAAAAAAAAGCGAAAACTGGGAAGACATAGAGAGAGACCTTGCGCAGAACCATTACCAGGGAAGGCTCAACTATAGGCCTAATGAACATCCAAGACCCAAAGCAGGTAGCAAAGAACCCCCGGATATAGAGAGCAGCTATGACCTAAGCACCTTCCTAGGCTCAAGAGGAAACATTAACTAGCTTACTGACCTACCGACTGTCCAACCGACTGACTGACTCACTGATTGACTAACTAACTGTGTAAATTGTGGATATAGGAAAGCCACTGTAATGAAGCCGCCAGACGCTCGCCTGCTGGCCTGAAAGCCGTGGGTTCAAATCCCTATCGAACTAAAAAAAATGACCTCGACTCCTAGGTCAACCCAGCCTAAAATGGGTACAAGTGAATGTCCTAGGAACTGCTTGTTGTACCAGACAATGACGATCTCTTTTTGTGCCTCTGCACTGTTTACTAACTCCCAAAGGTTCCTAACAACATCTAGCTTGTCATGTATCAATTTAACAGCAAGTTGTGCAGAACCAGGCATTTTATCTACCCGTTCATTTCCTGACATACCGACATTTCCCTGAAGAATATATTCAACGGACTCTAAATACCAGCAACCTCTGAAGCGATTATTGTCACTCTGTACGGAGCGTACCCCTCTCCACCTTTCTCAACACGCTCTGTCAGTCATTTGCTAAATGATAAAGCCAGCCTCAAGCCAGCATATTACCCTAACCTCTAACAGTAGGTGACAGTGAAGTACTGCTTTCTTCCTTGGCGAGTCTAGATAACCCATAGGTGGAAAAAAATAATTCAATTCAAAGGTGTCTTTTTCCACACACTTAAGCGTACTGGGTATATAGTTCCAGAACTGCTTTTCTTAATTCACGACTCTGTGTGTGATCTGGTCATCATTACGCCGACCGCTTTTACTTCCTATGGTTTTATATCTGGTACCCATTTTAAATAAGTTGACTTTATATCCTTTTTGTGTGTGGAAAAAATCTGATTCCATGATGACTTGAACCTCCGATCTTCGGGCATTATTGTAACTTATTATATATTATATAATTTACTGGTGTTGCAATTATTGTGTAGCTATAATAAGAAGTACTCCACAGGGGAGCATGCACAGCAGGGGTCCACCGTTCATAAGTAGAAAGACCCCTCATCGACGATTGTTTCAGGCCATTACTTCAAATAGAATCTTGGAAGGTGGGCCGAGATGGGTTATAACTCCAGGCCACGATCTTTCCCTGCCTGCTGGCACAGAGGCACTGGCAGACATTTATCGGATATTTTGTCTTTATTGGTATGGAAAGTTCCTTTCTGCTAGGGCTCGGGCCACTCTACCGAGGCCCATCTCCCACGACGTTTCGTTGCGTCCAAAACCAGCTGGAAGCTCTTTCAGCAGTTTCACCCAGTTGTTTTAGTGACTGCTTACGCTTGTTTCTTATCAAGCCCAGCTGCTTTAGCATATTGTAAGTGGAAGTGGAGAAAAGACCACTTGTGTCTGATTTTAACTGTGTACGATTCGTCTCTCCTCACTCCAGCCATGAACTCGCCGTACTTTTCAAGATTGTACAGGTGATTTTCCTCCATCCGCTATATAGCTATATAGACCGCATTGCGATCCTTTACGAAGCAATGTTGACATGTCATATCTCTTCTACAGGTTCTTAAAACAAGGTTGCCCATGGAAAGAATCAGATATATGTTGAAGAACGTTACAAAAGGAAAAAAAAAGGTCACAATTGAAAATATTATTGTATAATATTGACACAGATACTGTGTGTTGTTAAATATCAGATCATAAAATGCTGTTTTGTACATAATATTATGCAGTCTTGTGCCAAAGTTTTTGTCAGTAGGATGCAAGTCTTCCAAGTGCCGTATCTAATAGCTTCGCGCTTTGTCAGCTCACAAGTTTAAACTGTATTTTGATTTTGGTGGTTTTGCCGCTCCCTCTTTTGCGGTGACACCTGATGCGGCTGGATTTACTAATGATAGCACAGGACGGCTCTGATGTTATGGGACTTGTAAAAATGTGTAGATAAGATCATCTGTATATAAAAACAAAACCTGAAAGAGATAACTTGTCAGTATAAAGTCTTCGAGCTTGTAACGCTATAGTGTAACGTGGTGAAGTGGCCGCTTCTCTTCCTCGTAATCATTTCCCCCCATGACCAGAACTTCTTTTTTCTAGCATTACCTTTTTTTTAAATTATAATTTTGTCAGCACTATTGTGATAGAAACTTTGTGGGGGAAATACCGGCACCTTTTTATAGACCCTTTATGGCGAGCACCGCAAACATTTTTGCAGGAAGAAAAAAGCACTTGTCCATCAGGGATCAGATAACAATATAAAATTCTTTTATGGGGATAAAAACTTCTTTTATGGGTGTGGGTAGAATTAAATATAATTTCAGGACTGCATGGGTAGAGAAACCTAAGAGCTAACACCTTCTTCTTCTTCTTGGTGTTTTCTTCCTAGAAACTCCATCGGTAGGTAGGTAGGTGGTTGTACCCCACCAGGACACCACACAAACAATAAACACCCCATGATGCAAAGTGCCACCTTGCGGATGATGCTCACCCGTGGAGAGCTCAGGACACTCGGCAAAATAACTAAAAACTGCATCCAACGAGGGGACGATTTCCATAATAAAAGCGTTGAACTTAAATCGGTTGGTTGGTTGGATAGTTGTACCCCAGAGGACATCACACAAGCGATAAACACCCGGTGACACAAAGTGCAACCATGCGGATGAGGGTCACATGTGGGGAGGTTCCAGAAACCCCTTTTAGCCGTTAAGGCTATATCTATGGCTAGTCCATAAATATTGACGGGCTATATTCAGGGTCCCTGGCAGAAGCCAGGGTGGGGCTTCAAATAACAAAAAATTGCGTCCCACATGAAGACGACAAATAACTCCATCAGAAAGTTCCTGTTCTTAGCCCACCCCTGGATTTTCGTCTTAATCCAGAACATGAATATTGCGTGCACGTTCATTTTGCAGATCTGAATTATTTGTATGGAGGCTATTAGTTATTTCCTATCAGGCAGATTCATTCCGACTTTGAATGAAACGCTAGACATAGCGTCAATCCTGTAAGTTCTACACAAGATAGACAATGAAAGAAGCGATCAGGTACACTTAAAATTCTCTGAATTATGCCCCTTCCCCATTGTGTTAAAAAAAAAAAAGTTTATTTTTCAATGAATATTTCGCACGACATGCTTGTTGTTTCTGTCTACGATTATTCATTACCTGTTTTAGCCTCTTTGAAAATTCATGACTCACATTTAACAAATGGGTTATCTAATGAATTAAAGAAGTACGGAACCCGATGAGGTGGAAATGCGGCGGAAGGATGATTCTACAAAACATGCACACACATAATGACCCACACACTCAGGACTACCCAGAGAGCAATGGCAAACTACTAGACGTAAATTTGCCTAGAAAAACCACAGCAACCAAAAATGCTGGAGTTGGTTCGACAAAATGTTGTAAAGGATACGCAGCTAACTTTTTTCTAACTCAGGACTACAGTTTACTGTGTAAACGTTTTGTGGTGGTATAATGTGCTATATGATTATACAGATGAAGTGATTTCCAAGATTTGTTGTACCTGTTTGATTATCATCTTTGAAATGTTAACTGAGTAAAAAACTTAAAACAGATAACTCCCATGTTATTAGGTCGGGGTAATTGCAACCCCAGTCAATCATTAAAGATTTAGCAAGGAAAGATAGGCACATGAGCACATAGTGACAGTAACTACAGTCGCTAGCTATTTCAGTTACTGGCAGCAAGTAACCGAAATAAAACTTTTTTAAAGAAGCCAACAAACATATGTGTAGGCAGCATTCTTGACTGACTGACCTTTTACCACACAAAGTGCCACCATTCGGATAAAGATCACCAGTGGAGAGATCTCAGAAACCCTGTTCAACCTTTAGGTTATATTAGGGCCCCCAGCAACAACCAGGGTGGGGCTTAAAATAACGAAACATTCGTCAAACATAGAGACGGGGATTAATAACACTGACATCATCCTTACCAACGTAAAACCGGTGAATACTTCACACCAGTGTAGGTGCCCTAATTATAATGTCTATGGGGGTGTGTCTGGGGTTTACCCATTGGTTTGTCATCCAGATTCAGATTTAGTAATCTCAGGGTTGTAAACCTTCATGTAGCAAGTGAAGAAACCGAAACGAAAACGATTGATCCAACAAGCAACTCGATTTAAGGTTAAAGTTAGTGTCCTGTTACAGGTCGTTGCAGAACAAACCCTTGCAATTCTTAGCTGTCATTTCTTTAGACAGTTTTACGTACAGTAGTGTACCATTGCCCTCTGTAAAGCGTCGGCTGTGGATACCACTGTCGAAACCAATGCAGGATAGTCTGCTGCTAAATCGCCCTCAGCTGGAATCGAACACGCACCCTGGATTGCTGAAGATTTAGGGCAAAGGGGATGCACGATTGCTTGCGTAAAAACCAGCTGGTAAAGATATGCATGAGACTGGTGATCATAAGAGTTATCTGCTCATGACCGCCCACGCCTTTGGGCATACACAAACTGATGATGACAAAAGAAAGATACCTTTGCTTTTATTATTGGACCTTAACGAAACGTGTAAACTAAATAAACGGAACGAACATTATTTCTTAAGGAGATGATGACTTATTACTTTTGTTTGATGAAAAATTGGGTGATTGCAGTCAGACT